TAGAGGAGAGGAGAGGAGAGGAGAGGAGAGGAGAGGAGAGGAGAGGAGAGGAGAGGAGAGGAGAGGAGAGGAGAGGAGAGGAGAGGAGAGGAGAGAGGAGAGGAGAGGAGAGAACATTTTGGCCAAAAGGCACATGAAGTGCACACCAGCCTTGTTGCAAAGTTTCATCAGACAGCACTCTCTTTCACCCCCACCTTCCCTTTCCGTCCTCAAAGTGAAAGAAGAAGCAGGAGGTCCTGCCCCCAGCAGACTTCATGCAACATCAGCAAAATGTTCCTCAGTGGTGCTTGGAGCTCTGATGTAGTTTTCAAAACCACTTCTTTCTCTTCCTTTTCTGCACTCCTCCTTTTCTTTTTAGGTGTTGATTGAACCCTGCCACTACTTGAAGCTGTCACAAGGTTTTCGGTTATGTCTTCAGCTATCCAAATTTACGATGCCATTTAATCCACATTTACCAGAAAATATCTCATCCCTTTATTGGTGTAAGTCAACTCTTCATTTGAGATAGCTGTCAACTTTCCAAAAGCATTTTAGATACTGTGCATTTTCCTTTCTTTTGTAGCATACTCTCTCTTATGACAACTCAACATGGATTCAAATTTTAGTCTCACATTTTGCCTTACATCACTGCCACTGCGCAGAGTATTTTCATGCACAGAACAGTGCTCTGACAGACCTAACTTTTCCTAGTTATCTTTTGAAATATATCATTGCCGTGTTACTGATTGATCTTGAATAAACTGGTACCAAAGAATCTGGAAAAACAGGTAGTTGATGCACTAGCTTCAGTCAAAAACTTCAGAAGTAAAACAAAATCCAATTTTTCTCAAATGCATCTTGTTTGCACATTGTCACCACAAAAATGCTGCATTTTAATTAAATCCTTTATATACCTTAAAGGGATAGGAGGCTGAAGGAGATTGACCACGACAGAACTTCAACAGCTGTGAGGAGGAGGACATTCCTGTATACAAGCAGGCACTTAACCTCTACATACTCTTCCTTGTATAGTGGAGTTGCTGCTGGTCTCGGTAAGGACAGAATCATCTGGAGATGAAGTTTGACCAGAAGCAGTGTAAATAGCCATATCTCAAACTTTGTATGCAGTTATGGTATACATGTGTTGACCACTGCCCATTGAAAATGCATGTAGAGAAAAAAGCAATTTCATAGATCTGAAAATGCAAAATCCTTTTTTCATGAAACCTCAAAGATATATAAATCCACCTTAAAATCTTTGTTAATCTTAGGTTATATCATCTCCACTCAAAAACTTCATGTCAGGACAGATGTGATCATTGTAAAGGGTACTTGAATAAAGCGCAAATTCAAGATTTGACCACACCTTATAGTCGAGAATAGTCTACCCGTGTTGGAAGCACGTTAGGAGGGTTTAGGAAGGGAATACTCAGACATAGCAGAGGAAAGCATAGAACAGCCTGTTACTTTCTCAGACCAGTGAAACCTGCTCCCAAGAGATGCTTAAATTCCTATAAAGTGAAGTTCTGCCAACTTATGTTGGCATATCAGGAGTCAAGGACTGGGAACTGCCTGCCCCAGAGCTGCCTGGAATGGGCCTACGAAGTATGCAGTTGTTGTGTGAACATGGGCAGATATCTGAGAGCTGCGAGCCAAGTCTTTTTCCATGACCTAAGCAATCATTAAAGATTACCTTTCCTGACGTGTTCAAGTCTCCCTCTGAGGCTTCACTGTCTCTGTGTCTCTGCATACAACCTTGTTATCCTTGTTAATTTTAACAGGGAAATATACGAGATCATCTATGGAGTGTGAGAATAGACTAATTCATTTATGGGCCAAAGGAGGACTATTTCATTGATGGACTCAAATTCAGTGGTGTAGTAGTTCTCCATTTTTAATATAGTTAATGAATTTAGTACATTATCTAAAGACTAACACATTAGATAGTACTAAACTACACAACAGCAGACAGTTCTTCCCTCACAACATTAATCCTTAGACTCTGGAAGGGAGCGGCACAGTATTACGTTACACAGCACGTGTTCATGCAGAATTCCTACTGGAAAGCAGAGTCGTGTCACCTGCCTGGAGAACTGCTGGGAGCCAGCAGGCACATGCCACTCGTAACTCACCCAAGTGAGCTGACCAAAGACATGAGTTGCTGTAGGAATTTTCATTAATGTCTGTTTGCAGCCCCTGCAACATATATCCTCTTTTTATGTAAACACCAGTGGTACACTGGAAGACACTTGCAGATAAGATAAATGAAGCCCCTAATCTTCCAGCCCTTTTGGGCGTAAAGCTAAATTGCTTTAGGGATCTTGTTCTTCCAGTACAGCTTTCCAGAACCAGGGCAATATCACCTGTGGCAGCTTAACCAATTTGTATGCGTATGGCCTGGGATGAAAACAAGATTTTATGTCAAGATGAGCTGCACTGGTCTCAGAAAGGATAGAGCTTAATGAACAGGGAGTATACCTGAGAGATGGGCAGAAATGAGGAGGTGCTCTGAAAGGAGAAGAGAGGTGTCAGCACTGCAGGAGCACATTGGCAAGTTGACCCTCTGGTTTTCCTCTACTTTAAGCCATAGTCCAGCTAAAGATAGAATTAAATTTAAGATATATGCCTTACAGAAACCAGCTCTCATATAGCACCAGTTATTCTTTT